CTTTACTAGAGAATGTATAAGGTTGCATTATATGTACAAAGTTTTCAGCACTTTAATCCACAAAATTTGTTCATTTTTAAGTTGAAAGATAATTTAAAAACTTGTCAGTAAGGATTACTGTTTAGCTTTATTTTTGATGAAAAAGGTAGTATTCAAGGTGAGCCTAAAATAGAATGAATAAGAAAGTTAAGTTAAAGTAGATAGTTCAAAGAACTTTCATATGCTGGAAAATTAACGACAATTATTTGCAACAATATAAATAAGTTTAATCTTACTGATTTAGGACAAGTCTGAAATGGATGATTCTTAAAAATTGTTGAAAAGTTACAAATTAGTAATGATTTGAGAGTAATGACCTATTATTGCTGCAAATATTTACAACAAAGTTCATGAACTTTAACCTTATTTCCTTGAGAGTAAGAGCAAACTTTTGCTGCAAATGCAGAAATATTTTTTTGTCACAGATAGCAATAAACAAAAAATTGGATGCTAAAATTATTAGAAAAATAACAAAGTTAGAAGTTACCTAATTGCGTGGCCTAATAGTTAGTTTGAATCATTCCAAAGTGACTAAATTGAATTTGATAGCCAAAAACTTTTGTTTATCAACAATGTTTGCAAGTCATTTCGAATTAAAAAATTCAGCCAAGTTAACTTCAACTTCGATCAGTTCAACTGGTTAAAGTTCATGAACTTCATATCAGTAAGTTTTATCATCAGTGCTTTTATACTTGAGTTGGAAAAACTATACGATACGCTTTTTTTGAAAATAGCAATGAAAATTCGTGTTCTTATCTTAAAACTCATTAGTAGAGAGAAACTTTAGATTGATCTAATTGTCGGAATAAACTTTGGCATTTAAGCGAAGAAAACAAAGTTAGTCCAAACTATTTTCTAGTTTGCATAATAGTTATCAAATTCACTTTTATAGCATAACGGATGTTAGTAAACACAAAGAAATTAACTCAAGATTAATATAGTATAAAATTTTTCACATGTATTAATAATAAGTAATAATTACTCAAATTAATAATAAAAGTTTTGTAATAAATTGAAAATGATTATATACCAAAGCGAAATTTAATTTATTATAAATGTTATTAATTTGACAATAATAAAAAATATCAAACATTTTGTGATTATTTAAAAAGTAAAAAAATATAAATTTGTTAATTTTGTTCGGATTAAAAGTATTAAATTCAGACTCGATGCCTCAAAATTGTTCTTAAAAATATTATTGTTTTATCGGCGTGAAAATAAATATTTAATGTGAACAAAATTGAAAATACTTGCTAACTTTTAATCTACACATTTGATTACATATTTTTTATTTTTTTTGCTTTTTTTCATCTTTTGCTATTTTTATTTTTTTCAATTTTTTTTCTACTTACATTTGTTTGCTATAAATTAGTTCCATTTATTCTTGCAGCTGTTTCAATTTTTATGCTAATTTTTGCTTTACTTATGCATGCAATTTTTTTCCTTGTATGTAAAGAGCTATTGCAAATTTTATATAGAGTGATTAATCTTAGAAAGAACTAATGAAATGGTGTGCTAATGCCAGAATCTCTCCTCTATGATTCCTTTTCACGCTTTGCTGACGTTAAGACACAAGATATATGCTTGAACTTGGCTGCATTTGTAGGCCACAATTCTAAATCTGAATTGCATTTTGCATATTTAAGAGTACTTGAATTCATAAATTTTTTAGTAAATGAAAACTTGAAAGTGAGAGAGACGTAATCAAAATAGAAATTAAATTAGTTGAGCAAAGATTATTTGAGTGAAAAAATAAAACCGAAATTGGATAGAAAGTAAAGAACAGATCGAACTAAACTAAGCAAAAATCAGTCAAGACAGAAAGAATAGCTTAAATTGGGACTCTGTTAGGCTGTGAAATAGACAAAGATTGAACTAGAAGGCTAGTCCCAATTCCGTTGGCCGTTTATTTCATTGATTTGAGAAGCAAATTTTGGCCACTTCTCTGCAGGCAAATTTGGAATTTTTTCTTTAAGCACAACTAGAATGATTCTGATAGAAGGGGGACTGAGGTACTGTAATGATTACTAAAAAACTTTATCTTAAGCAATATTTGCATAAAATAGAACTAAAATAACTATAATAGCACTAATAATCTTTAAGATTAATTAATTATAAATGCGAGAAATAAAAAATAAAGCACTTTTGAATATTTTTGTTTTCAATCATATCAAAAAGCATATTTTGCTATTTAAACTCCTCCAAAACTAACTTTGTATTTTTTTTAAAAATTTTTCATTCAAAAAATAAATAAATTGCAAGCATTATCACATCTAAATCATATAAATATCCTATTAAATTCAACCTTTGACCTTACAAGGTGCTATATAATAGAAATTGGCAAAAAAGTAAATAAAAATTGTTTTTAAACGAAAAATTTGCATAGCATTATGAACTA